ATTCGAGCTCGGTACCCTGAGTTTCTGAATTTCCAAATTTCTGAATTTCTGAATTTCTGAATTTCTGAATTTCTGAATTTTCAAATTTCTGAATTTCTGAATTTCTGAATTTCTGAATTTCTGAATTTCCGAATTTCTGAATTTCTGAATTTCTGAATTTCTGAATTTTTGAATTTCTGAATTTCTGAATTTCTGAATTTCTGAATTTCTGAATTTTCAAATTTCTGAATTTCTGAATTTCTGAATTTCTGAATTTCTGAATTTTCAAATTTCTGAATTTCTGAATTTCTGAATTTCTGAATTTCTGAATTTCTGAATTTCTGAATTTCGAAAGGATATTGAGAGTTTTTCAGAATTCCGAATATTTCAATTTTCTGAATTCAGAATCAGAAATTTTGAATTTGGAATTCTCGAACTTCAAATTTCTGAAATTGAAAATCCCCATACATTGAACATCTCAAACTTGGAAATAACAATTCCAAAGGTTCTTGGGCTTCGGAATTAAAAAAAAAAGCCTGATTGTGAGGATAAAAAATAGTTTTTCAAATTTTCAGATCCTTTCTTGTATTTCTGAAGTTTTGAAGATTTCAAAATCTCCGATTTTCTAAATATCAGATTTCGCAATTTCGCAATTTCTCAATTTTCGAACTCTTGAACTTCTTGATTTTTCAATCTCAGATTGTTCCAATTTCTGAAATTTTGAATTTTTTAAAATTATGAATTCCCGAAGTGGATTTTTAATTTTTGAATACCGTAAAACCTGTATTAGGCCCTTCTATTGTTCCAAGGTACCTCCGGAGGGCCCTTCTATCTTTCTGGCCAGTTTTTTCCGAAATGTTGTTCAAAATTCATGAAAATCTGCCAATTTCACCAAAGTTCAGCAAAATTTCCATCCAAAAAAAGAGTTTCCACAAATTTCTATTCCACTGTAAAAGTACGGAAATTTTCTGATTTTCACACATTTTGAAGTGGGATCCTTTTTCACAGAGGGCCCTTCTATTACAGGGGCCCTTCTATTGTTCCAAGCCCTTCTCGAAGGGTTATTCTATTAAAGGGGCCCTTCTAAAACAGGTGTTACGGTATCTCAAGTTTCGAATTTCCGAATTAGAATTTTGAAGAATTTCTGATTTTCTGTTTTTCAAATTTTTCAAGAATTCCAGAAAAATCCCAAAAAATGCATCTACCAACATTTTTCTACACATCACTCCTCCCATTGTTCTCATTTGCCTTTGAAATCCACCCAAAAGAAGAATTGAGGTAAAATTTGGAATTTTCAGAAGTTTTCTGGTATGTTAGAATTTGAAAAAGTTCCAGGAAATGCTTCTCATGTTCCGTGTTCACATTCATCAACTCCAAACTTGTGTGTGCCAATCCATCATTTTGCTACGCCGATTTTTGCTATTCTTGTGAGTTTTTAAAGGGGGACTCCGACCAAAAATTTTTATTGCATTAAAATGTGTTAAAAGTTATCTATTTTCCGAATATTATTGCGAAAAAATTCAAAAAAAATCCGAAATTCCCAAAAAACGCCGTTGAAAAGGAAGAAAATTCAAAAAAAGGTGCCGCCGGGGGACGAGGATTTTCAGTGAGAAACCTAGGCCACCGCAGCGGGCGCCTTTCCTATGTGGCAAATTTTCCGTATTTTTTTCAATTTCATGTCCGGCAGGTAAAAAACGTAAAAAACCACTGTCGGCGACTTGA